CTCTGTCCGCATCTGTATTTCCTAGCTTAGTGTTCGTAGTAAGTGGTAGATCTGCTTCACAGATAGCGAAAGGCTCGGCCACTGCAACTTGTCAGTGACACACCATGAGAGCATTTTGCTCTGTGCATGAGCACCATTCTGTCTTACTACTCTGTACTTTGTGCAGGTTCCTTCTAAAGAAAGAAATTTAAGCTTTTTCAGTTGCCTCTCCCTTTAAAGTTCTTTCCCAAATATTCACAGAATAAGTTCTTCAGATCTTCTATAAGTGTCACCTCCTCCACAGATACTCCCTTGATCACCCTGTCGAACGCCATACATTTCTCTATTTTACGTACTTTCAAATATATTGGTATCTGAAATTATCTATCTTTGATTTCCTGCCCCCTACTTCTAGACACCAGTGTCATGAGGTCACTGTGCTTGGAATGTCCAGCGTACTTCTGACATACCTATTCCATGTGACCCAGGGCACACACAGCAAATACTTCTTCCAAGGCTGGCTGGGTGACTAAGACAATGTAATTTCCCGAGCCCAGCCTTGTGTCTTGTCCAGACCTTTCTAGGCATTTTTTTCTGCTACCACCAAGCTGGAATAAAGCCTGTTAGACCATGTGTTTGGGATCCAGGCTGATCAACTTTGAAAAACCAAACATTTGCTCTCTAGGAAAGGAGCAGATCATTTGCTTTCTCCTTAGTGAAGATTGAGTTAAGTTTGTGATTCATTTTACTGAACTATGTGATTAGTTTAAAAACAAATATTTCTTAAAAAAATTATTTTTAGAATTCTACTTTTTCTACCTTCATGTTGGCTGATCTTTTTAGGAAAATGTTAAGATTTATATAAAATAGGCTTTACTCTTGTATGCTTTTGTTTTTTATAGAGTGTAAGATATTTTTAGGGGTCGGGGAGACAGCTCAGTGGCATAATCGTTTGCTTGGCATATGCGAGGTCCTGAGTTCAATCCCTAGCACCATAAGGGAAAAAAAGCTAAAGTGTAAGATACTTTAGAATGTATGATCTACACAATAAATTAGTAAATGTATATTATCTCCACATACAAAACACTAGTTCTAATAAGGTGAATTCTTTAAAGCTTTTCTCTAACTACATTTTTATTTGGTGGCTTCTGATTGGCCTTTTTAGAAGAGCAATTTTATTTTGTCTTTGACGTCTGAGATGCCTTACTTTGTCACTAGCATATAAACTTCTCACTATCCACATATCTAGGAGTAGTTTGCTGTTTAACTTCTCAGATAAAGTGGCCTGCAAATAAATTTTCATTTCAACATTTCTCAGTGTTCTATGAAATGACATGATTTTGGCTCAGTTAATTAACTTATTAAGCTTGTAAAAGATCTCCTATTATTCTAAACTACAGAAGAAGCAAAACAATGCAGAAGCAACCTGCTCTTTGCCGAGATACTTATTTTGTCCAAAGCCTTGCCATTGCAGTAATGAAAAGCACAATAGCTGAGGAACAAAATTTTTAAGACATTCTAAATATCACCAGTTGGTTTAATAAAATTAATTAGCTTGCCACAGAGAAAATTTACTAGCATGCTAGTTAATTTCACAGTGTAAAGTCAGGGAAGGGAGGTAGGATTGAGGGAGAAAACCTTATTAGTTTTAAATAATTATTTAAAGATGTGGGCCTGCCGATTTCAAACACTTTGATACCCAAATCCATGAAGGCTTTAAAATCTCAGCCTTTGTATCCCAGCATACATGGGAAAGAACCTCTCCAGATAAAATCATGAGTGTATTACTTAACAGCTAAATGACTCATTTAAGATACATAGCAAGAAGCTGAATCATAATAAAACCATGGGAATAAGAACTTGCCTTAAGACTGACTCAGGGGAGGTTTCTATAATCTTAATTTGCCATTGATGCCATTATTGGTCTTTCTTGTCTTTTTAATCCAAACAAGATGTTTGCAGTGGCCATGGAAAGGTGCCCAAAATGACATGCCTGAATTCATTTAATTTGCCAACATTGTCTTTTTTCTTTTTCTTTTCTGGTAATGGTCAAGAGTCAGTTCTGGTGCATTAGGTGCTAAATCTCTTCAATTACCAGCCGGGAAGAAAGATTTAAAATTGTGCTTCAAACCTACAAACTGATTTGGTTTTAAAACACAAACACTTCCCCTGTGGAGCCTAAATTAAACCATAGAAACGACCAGTGGCTAGAAACTAAATGAGCCAGAGCCCAGGCTTGGCCAGTGATAGAAACCACTTTTGGTTTCTTTCATTTGCGCCCCCTGGTGAGAAAGGAAGGGGAGCAGGGATAAGCTGAAAGTCACAGCCTGCGCAGGAAAGCGCAGTCCTGCAAGGCTGGGGTGGAGTGATTGTTGGCACAGGGAGCTGATCAAATCCCTGATCTTTTTTTCTTTTTTTTGGCAGCCATTTTTAATGTGGATGACTCTGTGGTTGATCTGGAGACTCTAGAGGCCTTATATGAAAACGTAAGTGTCAAAGACATACAATGCTGGAGGTTCCATGTTTTCCATGTAAAAGTCACTGCATCATTCATGTTCTTCGGCAGTAAGGATTTTGATGTAGCAGGAGAAGGAAGGCACCGAGATGCAAGCATGGGTGGGAGGAGCATAGGCCCCTAACTCTCGCATGGTATTGGAGTGAGTAGAGCTCATCACACATCTCCACAGTACAGTGATGAGGGGGGCACACGTGTGTCCTGGAGCTGAGCTTTATTGCTTGCTGACGGAGTAAATGAAAGTAAGCTACCTGTTGGATGTTGGCACACACCAGTGTCTTCCTCTGAGGAATAAGAATGTTATTACCAGCTTCTATGATTATTCTTAGTCCAAAATGAGCTGATGGTGCTGAATGTGGGAAACAGTGGGACAGAGGAGTGTGTTTTGAGTTTAGAGACAATCTAAGGTCTGAGCTCCCGCTCTGCCTTTGCTTGCGGCATGATCTTGGGCCCATCGCTTAAACTGTTTAATCTACTTGATCATAACAATATAAATTATAGTGAGACTCTACCTGTCATCTTGATACCATGAATGAATTTAATATGTACAGCAATAGCACTGTATTTTGCAAGTAAATAGCACTGTACATGTATAAGTTTTCTGATTTGAATTATGGAAATAACCAGGAGATTCTGCAGGGTATCTGAAGGGCATGACACTGGACAGTCATAATTCTAGTGACTTTTAACTCTGCACTGATTATTAGGATATAGAGATATAGATTGAACTAGAGTCTCTAGAGGAATGGTATTTCCCAGGAAGTTGCCTTGGGGCTCTGTGATATGCTGTGCTTACTCTGTGGAAGGATGTTTCATTTAAATTTCCATAGTCTAACATTGTATGCCGTGTGGAGTTGTCAAGTTCACTATTCATCTTCGTGTTATGTATATCAGAGGCTACTTAGTGCAGCTAAGTAGGAACTTCCCACTGTTTCTGTCAATAAGACTTTAATTAATAAACCCAAAGGCACACAAATAGCAGATTATCAGGAAGTAGTTATGTGTCTGTTGAGCCCATGGAGGACAGAGTGGTATAGTGGGAGAAACGGGAGTTCTGAGTCAGAAGCCCTATACCAGTAAGTTTTTGCAAGCTGCAGTAGGATTATCTGTAAAATGAGGATAATGGGTGTTCAAGGACTGTGTCAAAGGCGGCGAACCTTCCAGACGCTTCCCGTTGTTTCCATGAGCTTAGGACTGTGTGACTGCTGCTTGTTAGCACACAGTAGAAGAAAGCTGTGCACAAATGAAACAAACAGTTGGATAAACTGAGAGAGTATGTGGCCAAGGGCAAGAATAAGTTCTACAAATGAGAATTTATGAAATTTAGAAAAAGGGGAAATGCTGACTACAAAAATAGGGTGGGAAGCCTGTATGAATTAGAAGCACTCTTCAGGGGAAGGAAGCAAACACTGAGGACAACAGGCCCAGATCTGCTTATAGGAGACTCAAAAGTAACAATCAAATGTCCTGAGTTCTGTGTCTGGCTGACTGCCTCCTTCGTCAGTGATTCTCAACTGTAGTGTATATCAGAATGACCTAGAGCGTTGGCTGGGCCAAACTCCTGCACTTCCTCTTATTTGGATGAGGTCAATAATTTGCACTTCTAACAAGGGGTAAGTGATGCTAATCGTGCTGGTGAAGGGACCACATGGAGACCTCCTACCTTAGATAGACTCTTATTACTCATATTTTGGTGTTTTGTGTTATTTTTTCATTTCAATACAGAGAGCCCAAGAAGATGAACTGGTTAAAATAAGAAAGTATTATGAAACATCCAAAGAAGAGGAATTGAAGCTGCTCGATAAACCTGAACAGTAAGTATACTTGAACACTTCTCTGCTAGGCAAAAAGGTGATACAACATCTAGATTCTCTGGTTTGACTGTCCAAGGCTGAATTGTGCAGTGAGCTAAATTACAGTTCCATCATTCTTGTGACCCATTACGTACAGAATGACCCGGCTGCCGGGAAAGCAGCAAAGAGATTTGTGTTGCTGGATGACAGTAGGTTTCACGCACACCCCCACGTTTTTCTTCTTTCTCATTCTAGCAACTTGTTAATTCCTCCTAGACTAAACATTTTAGCCAAAAGGGTATCTGAGGAAGGAAGAAGGCATTACTCTGTTTAGGTTTTTGCTGATGCAGTGAAAAAAATGATATCAGATTCACAGAATTCAAACTGATTTTCTTAAATGCCATATTGTGTAAATGTGGGCTCAGTGCACCAGTGTTGCCACAGACTTTTCTGCTGGCTCTGTCCAAGTTAGATGTGACTGTCTTCATCCCACTCTGCAGAGCCTTGCTCCTCTCTCCACCCACTGTCTAGAGCTGTTTGCTCTGTGCTTCAGAATGTTGTTGCACATGCTCTGAAAACCTGGAGCTGTGTCATATGACTGAGTGACTCTTAGCCTTGACGTGGCCTCTGCAGCCATGGAGCTCCAAACAGTGGCTCAGGGCCTCAGATTTTGGAGCTGCAGAATGGGTTCCAAGGGGAGAGCTACATTTCCCTTATTGCTCTCTTGAGTCTTCCTGTCCTATTCAGGCCAGCCTAGTAACAATTGTAGAACACAAGTAGGAAGTGATGTGATTAGATTTAGTGTAACAAGTCCCCTACAGACATCCAAGTGGCTACAGCTTGGACTGCAGCCTCCCTGTCTTGTGCTTGAGTCCTCTGGGGTGTCTGGATTTTCAGGCCCAGAAAAGCATCACTATACACGAGTGGAGTGTGGATAGGAGAGATGTCTAATTTTACCTAGTTACTGAAAAAAAAATCTTGGTGACTTGTAAAACTTACATGACTTTGTCCCTTGGGGCATTTGTGGCATGACCCCCTTCCTCCAGAAATAGTTCACCAAGCCCAAGAATATTGTGAATGCATTCCAGTGGGAATCACAGCCCTTCTACTCCTCCATTTCCACTGCCTTCCTCTCTCACCAGCTCCCAGTCCAGCTGATCCTGTAGCTTCTCCCAAGCCATGCTCTCTGTATTAGCAGTTCATTCCTGGTAAACTGCTAATGACTAAAAGTTAAATGGTTAATGATACAAAATTTAGATATTCACAAGGGCATATGAGGTACCGAGGTAGGACTCGCCTAGCATTAGATAGCACTAGTTATGCCACAATGTGTGGTGAGTGTGACTCTGAGCCTGGAGTAGGCAAACCTTTCCTATAAAGAATGAGGTAGTATGTGTTCTAGGCTTTGTGAGTCCGCAGAGTTATCATAAGTACTCAGCTCAGCTGTTGTAGTGCAGAAGTAACAGATAGATAGTTCATAGGCAGGTAGACATGGCTGTGCTTGAATACAATTCTCTTTAGGAATGTTGAAATTTGAATTTCACATCATGTTCACATCATGAGCTGTTATCCTTTTATTGAAAACTTTTCAATCATTTGAAAACATAAAAGCCATTCTTCATGGTGCATATTGAAATAAAGGGCTAGTGGCTATAACAGTACAGTATATGGGCTATAGCTAGCACTATTATATAGCAATAGCATACAGACTATAATTTGCCAAATCCTTTCGCATTCAACGAAAGCTTCTCCAAGCTCTGGGAGTAGCTGCCTGGGGAGAAGGAACAGCCAGGAAGTGACTGGTTCTTCTATGGGAAGCAGTTCCCTGTTCTTCCACACCACTAGCTCCTCACATTATTGCTAGGATATAGGACAGTGCTGACAGGTAATTAAAAGATAGCTTGTCATTCCCTTTTCCCCCCACTGATGATCTAACTAGAAAAGTTTGTCAGTGGTCTTTGTGGTGGCTTTCTGCACACTCCCAGCTGTTGCTCACCACAGGGAGGACTGTCATGCCATCCTGCTAGTGTGATTGGGCTCAGGCTTGAAGGGTGAGGCATGGAGAGGTGAGGGCCCTGGGCCTGAGTGACCTTCCCCGTTACTCTTGCCTTCTTGAACAATTCAGCATTTGTTTCCTTTGTGGAAGAAATCTCTGGAAACTTATTTGCCATTTACTCTAAGTGAGTGGGCTATAAGCATGTTTTACATACTGGAAAATATGAATCATTTATAGTTGAGCATTGCAATTTTTCCTAAGAGTCTTGTGGTGCCCAGTCCTGTAAATCAGGCTGGCCTCATCACTCACCTCATCAACTCCCTTACACCCTGGTGCCAGATTTGGAAAACTGTTTGACTCAGAGATGTCATCTGCTTGGGACCATGCTGTCTGGGAACCACACCCTCTAGGAATGGCCCTTGACCCCTGCTGTCCTGCCTTGAGATGGTAGCGAGGTGGCAAGGCTCTCTGGTCAGATGTATGCCTGCCATGGGCTCAAGTAGGGATGCCCCCTGGCATTTCTCCTAGGATCTTCTCTACCTTGGACTCCCCTAAACATGGATTCAGTAGTATTTCTGCCTAGAAAGTATAGGCTACAACAAGAAAACATACTATGTATGCAACCCCTGTGTGCACACGCACTTTAAATAATGTTGGTGAGAAATTTAGTGGCTGATGATAAACAGCATAGCGTTCTTCCGGTTGAGTTACTACTGTGGGTGTGTAGGGTACATGGTGTGAGGCACAGAACTTTTTTTGCTTATACATGTACACTAAAGCTTTAAACCTTTCTTGAAAATAAGACTCCATTGGAGAAAGAAGGAAAGATCTCTCATTTGTGGATTCTTTATTCTTCTCTGATGGAAAAAACCTGTAATGCTTCACTAACCTGAAAGGAAATTGATCTATGGATATTTGTAAATATCAAGCCCAGTATTCAAGACTATATGCCTGGGGATATGTAGAAGGTTTCCTACCCATGGCTATTTATGTAGAGCATGAAACACAGTTGGGGTGGGGGACATTTATCAGACACTTGCTTTGCTTAGCTTTGAAAGTAGCCTGTTTAAGCACTGTATTGCTTTTCCTCAAGCCTTTCAATGGCTTGACTTGAGGTTGTTGTTTTTTTTTTTTTCTTCAACAAAAAATGACTTAAAACTTTTTTTCCTCAAATTTTCTTCCCAGTATTTCATATTTTCACATTCTACCAAATGTATCCAAGCTAAAAACTTACAGGCCATCCTGGACTCTTCTTGGCATCCATGGGAAGTTTAGTACGTTAGTTGCTGAAGAAAGCACACCTGGGGGGATTAGGCAGTTACCAGAGTCATGCTGCCTTAGGGGCTGTCATGTCCATTGCTTCTGTCCTTTTGAGAAAGGCCATCTTACCTGCTGTCTTGGAGGATTACAGCAATACCCAACAGCTCTGCGAGTCTTGAACTTGCTTCCATCTCCACTCAGCCACCCCACTATCACATTGGTTGTCTCAAATGAAAAGATTCTTTATTTAAAATATTTTATTCATCATAAAAAGCTCAAGTCTTTGTTTTAGAACACAGAACTCCATGGTAGCATCTGACTTCTGCTCAGGTCCCCCTAGATGTCATTCAACCTATCTTGGCTTCCGTGGCAGCTTCTTACACCCATGTACAAGCCTGATGGACCTCCAGGAAGCTCAGTCCATCTCAGTTGCCCATAGTCTCAAGTCAGTGCCCTATAGTGGCTTCTCATCATTGACGGAACTTGTCACACTTCACAGTAATTATTGATTTACTTCCCATGAGGTACAGAAGGAATTGCATGCAAATTAAATCCCATTTCCAACTTTTAGTGTGAAGCCTGACACTGTAAATGCTTCACAGATGCCTAAAGGACTGAGTGACACTCTCAATGGCTGAGGCACTTGTACTAATTGTCAGTGGCATGGTTCTATTCAAAAGGAATGTAAAACCCCTCAACTTTCCCTCTCCCCTTTGACTCTGTACCTTGTTCCAAACTCTTCACCACATAGACGGTACTGGGACTTCTACCTTATCTGAGAGCCTTCCCAGTGACAGTTTAAATCCCAGCACAGGGGGCTGGGGAGATGGCTTAGTGGAATAAGCGCTTCCCTGGCAAGTGCCAGGGCATGAGTTCAATCCCTGGTTCTGCCAATAAAATAAAATAAATCCCAGTACAGTTTTAAAGAGCCTTGAGTTTTTTCTTTTTCCTGCGTAGTGTAAATTAATGAGCCTACGGTCTTGTTTCCTCCTTTTGGACTGATGCTCCTCTTTGAGATGTTATTTTCATCTGTCATTGGCTGCTTTACACCTCTGGATGGATCATTTGAGGGGTTGATCTGTTTATTCCCCCAGGGTGGTCTGTTAAACTGTTTCATTATGTGTTCATTTTAAGCAGGACAAGTGCATATTCTAAGGATCTAGATTCTACTTGGAAAATGCTGTCCTGTGTCATATTATGAAGTTAGCCCTCAGCATTTGATTAAATAAATATTCCCATAGGCATCACAGAACCAAAGGCTGCTATGCCTATGAGGTTTCCAATTTTCATATCTCTGTGTACAATGATGATATTCTTGATGTTAATCATGATAAATATATCAATTGTTTCATAATGTTATATTGTATTTATGAAGAAACAATTTACAGTGTAATTTTTTCAATTTGTTCCAATTCAGAATTCCTGATTTTATATTTCATCATAGAATTTTTCACAAAAATCATAGATCTAAAACATTAAAACAGGAGTGTATTTTTGTTTATGGTTCTTCCTTGCTTCAACTCAATACTATTTTTAAAATGTAGAGGAGAGGATTATTACCTAGTTACAGAATAACTTAGAAAAACAGCTGATAATTAGAAATTAAAAACCAAATTTTGGGAAACAGCCAAATATCTCAGTGGATTAAAGTGCCTGCTTAGGGAGACGCAGGGGCTGGAAGTTCAATCTCTAGGCCTGCTGAACTGGCCCCATCGCCAGTGTGTGCTGAGATGGCAGTTGAGACCAGGTGTGGTGACATGAGCCTGTAATCCCAGCACTTGGGAGGCTGTAAACAGGAGGATCACTATGAGTCCTATCTACACAGTGAGATGCTGTAGGCCCTGTCCTAAAATAAAAAAAAAAAATCCAAATTTCCCAAAAGATGCAGAAGGCAGAGACTATTAGGCAAGAAAGTCTTAGGGAAGTCAGGAAAGATGTGCTCTAGTTTGCTCTTCTGTAGATGTGTTCTTGCTGAAAGATTGCAAAATATCAAGGTAATGATGTCATGAGCTCGTGAAGACTTTCAGAAATGTCAGTTAATCATAATTTCTACTCCAAAATGAAATTAAAAGCTGTTAGTGGATTTTCTCCTTTTCTGCATTCTTAGCCAGCTGTTTCCATCCATCTTGGTTTATACCCTTTCCTCTGTTGTTGGACTGAAGAGTGTGTAGCTCTTCCAGCTTAATTTTGCAAAGGACATCAGTGCCCAGCTGCTCAGACAGTGAGCTACTGTGTGTAGGTTGGTGCTCACCTTTAGCTTTTAGCATATTTTGAAAAGAAACTGTAGGTTGTCTACTTACGGAGCACATACCTCGTTCTGAGCACTGAACCGTGAAATGTGTCTGTGTGTAAGCTGGTGTGAAAAGTCAGCAAATGTGTGGAGAAGCTGCTCATTACAGATGTTTATGCCATTGTGCAAAAGTGGAGCAAATGCAATCCAAAATGAGAATTTTATAATTTAATTGCAGGTATTTCCTGCAATCTTCTTGCTTAGCTTGTGTTAATGTGCCTCTAGCAAACACTGCATTGCAGGGAAGTCATTTCTCATATGGTCTCTCCATGCGGGTTCAGCCTCTTGTTTACAGAGCAGGAAATAGATCATTTTAACATTCTTGCACTAATGTATTATATGCACTGTGCGTTTGTTCAGTATCATAGAAACCAGGAAACGGTGATTCTGTTGTCCGAAGTCGAACATAAACTGTAGGGAGTTTTTGAATCAGCCTATCCAATACCTTTGATACTTGTTAATTAGAAATGTTCTCATAATGGATTTTTATAGGCTGTCTTTATTATTTTTATGGCTAAACATAAAGTTTCACTTTCACCTTTGCAGATTTTTGCATGAGTTAGCCCAGATCCCTAATTTTGCTGAGCGTGCCCAGTGCATCATCTTCAGGTCTGTCTTTTCTGAAGGTGTCACATCTCTGCACCTGAAGGTAGAGATTGTCACACGTGCCTCGAAGGTAAGATTGCTACACAAAGTTTGAAAGAGTACTCTTATATTTCTTGGGATAAAGGAGGAAGTTGGAAATGAGAGAAACCATCAAATGCCTCACAGAAAACCTCTTGGGATTCAGAATGTGTCCTTTTCCTAAGGGCAAATATGATAGCTGTCCTGCCTCTGTGTATGTGTGAGTGCATGTGTGTGCATGTGTATGTATTCATGTACATGCATGTGTGTGCCTGCATGTGCATACATGTGTGTATATGTGTGTGTGCATGCACACGCACATATGTGGAAGAGAGCAGGGGAGAAAGAGGTGCAGATTAATTAAGAAAGGAGGAGGAAAAATTATACTTCTACAGATTTCTTCTAAACAATTTATGAGTATCTTGAAGCGTATAGACTGTATACTACAAAACCAATCTGAATAGCATGTTTTGTTTCTTGCTTGTCTTCCCAAATTCTAAGGCTGTTTTTCTTGAGAATAATTTGCTTGATTACCTGAAATGTGTCTCCTGTGTTAAATCAAAGAGCCTAGAAATGATTGTTCGTGATAACTAGAGATTGGCACATATGGTGTGCAATCCGAAGTCTTCCCCTTGGCCTTTTTGATAAAATGACCCATATTCTGAAGAATGTGGCATTCTTCTCCACAAATGCTGTAGTACTTCATCACCTTTCTGGAGGCTTGTTTTCTACCTCTTAGATATGAGATGTCAACAAATACAGTATAAATATTACCAACAGATAGCATAATCCTACAAATAATACCTAAATTAAAGAATACAAATCTGACTGAAGTTGAATTTTGTTTTCTTTTTTTATCCTAAAATAAAAGAAAATAAAGTCAGCTAATTCTACAAAAAATATTTTCTATTTGAGAATTTGCACTTGAAGAAATAAGTAAGAGGGAAAAAAATCAATGTGATAGAGAGTTCAAGAAAACCCCTAGCAACCCAATACTGTAAAAGTCAATAGACATAGAGCAAACACTTACACATCATTTGTGGCCTTGACATGCATTATTATAATTTGTTTCTGAAAATTATACCTGCTATTATGTCTACTGTATATCCAACTCTACTCTATATTGATGTATAGATCTAAAACTCTCTTTCTACTTAAAAGCCATTAAGGCTATGCCTAAATATACCAGTTTCCTTTCATCAAATTATAAACATTTTAAAGTGCTAAATATAAAAGAGGCAAAAAAGGAAACAGAAACACAAAGATTTAATCGTCACCACTAGATCATGTACTAGTCATAATTTTGTTGCACAGGTAGAGAGTGATGGCTATTTTTTAGGACACATGTGGCCATGTAAAGTATACTGTTTGATTCACTACCTATTAGTCCAGTTGATTAAAAGATACCAAAGAGTCTGTTTGGTTACTCAATAAGTAGCTGTTGAATGAGCCTGGGCATGTTAGGAGTTAAGACCACAATAATCTGTATTTGCTATCACAGGGCTTGCTGCACATGAAGAGTGTGAAAGATATCTTAGCTATCATTCTGGCTTTTGGAAATTACATGAACGGAGGAAATAGGACTCGGGGTCAAGCAGATGGATATAGTTTAGAAATCCTGCCCAAACTCAAGGACGTCAAAAGTCGGGTATTTATTTTTCTTAATGAGTTTCTGTGTGTGCTCTGCCATTTTTTTCCTTCTATATTTTAATTTTTAAAACAATGGTATTCCAGATCATTCCACTTATGTCTATCTTTCTTCTAGCAATAATCATTAATTTAGTAGCATTCCTTTTTTCTTTGGGTTTTTTTGGCTGCTGGATACAGATAGGTTTTTCTTGTTAGATTTACTTTTCAGTGACACAGTCCCCAATACGTGATTAAATACACAGAGAGATGACAGCATACAATGCTGGAGTCTGCTTCAGCTTATTGTTGGCTGCTTATAACTTACTCTCTTGAGTGGGAGGACTGCTGAGTCACCAGTTGAGCTTAGCATTTGAATTATTCTTTTGTCCCAACAATTGGTTTGAGGTCTACTGTCAAACTCTCC